TTATTTTTATTTTTATTTTTATTTTTAAAGCATATATCATATGACTTTGTAAAATTTTAGCACATCATATTCTTTTGGATTTTCTTTATGTTGTAGGGTTGTTTTTAGTTTTGTGTGAGGTTAATGGAAGTATCAACAAGGATGAATTAAAATTTCAAAATCCATTTTTATTCAATAATTTTTTTTAAATATTAAAATTTGTCAGATTTTATGAATCTTTTCATCTATAGAAGTAAAAAAAACCTAAAGCAATGATAATATTTCTTAAAAAAACAAGGAAGCCAAAGTTAATCGTTTCATCAATTATTATGTAATGTTGGATTGTCCTAGTTTACATGATCACAGTATCAAGTCAAATAAAAAAAATATTCAAGCCATATAACATTATTTTATATTATTATTAAATTTGATTTTAAAAATCAATTTGAAATTTCTTAATTTAACCTTTTATTTAGTTTAAATTTAAACATATATGATTTATCCTAATATGATAAGTTGACTTGATTAATCCAAAAAATACTTAGATGATCAATAAAAAAATTTTAAGGATAAAAATGAGAAAAAATAAAGAAATTGAAAGAAAAAAAATCTATTAACCTAACTTCTTGCTTAACCTTATTAAACTTGTGGAATTTGCCCTACATAACCCTATTGACTTGGCTGGTTTAAAAACAATTTAGACAACTAATAAAAAAACTAAGAATGAAATTGAGAAAAAAAAAACTCAAAGTAAAAATGGGGGAAATAAAAAAAATAAAACAAAAGAACATGTTTTGCTACTAATATTAATAATGAAGTTGATGTGTATGACTCTAAATTTTTTTAGTTTGTAAGTATGATGGGTTAAGAATGATTTAAAACTTATTTTATATTATTTAATTTTTTATGTGTATTTGGTAATGCAATGCGGATTTTAAAAAATGTTTTCAATTTAAAATATATTAAATATTTTTTATATTTTTTAAAATCAACACATCAAAACAATCAAACAACATTTAAAAAATTAATTTGATATTTTTTCAAATGAGAAGCAGCTTACAAAGTAATTTAAAAAGCGAATTGAAATGCATTACTATACACACCTTTCATGTTGTGCATAAATAGGAAACTAATGGAAGAAAAAATATTAATTTGATTTGGTACGATCCAAGTAAGGTTATATTTAGATTTTGATGTAAATTTTTTTACTATCTAGTTTTACGCTATCGAGCATAACTTTCGATTCAACTATTGGATTAAGATGAGATTCTTACAGGATTTTATAGACATATTTTTATACATTAGATTAATATTTCAAGTTAATCGGAGTTTAGAAATGAATTATTTTAGGTGATCGAAGTTACTAGATGAATTATGTCAAATCTTTTTATTTGGACCTTCATCTATTGTTGAAGGAACAATATCACCATTTTTGTTTAATAAGATACCAAAGTGAATGACTGACTAATTCCATACTAGAAACAATCGCAGGAAATCTTTTGATAAAATGGATTCCTCTTTCTCAATGATATCTCATGATCAAGACAATTAGCTGAATCTCATGAAACCATTTCATATAAGTTCATTTATATCTTTTTTTTATAAAGCAAATTGACTTCGATTCTTGAATAATCTACATCATTTCTGCTTCTATTGTAATAAAAGATTCCCTTTTTATATGGAAAAGACCCGTATCAAGAATTATGATTACATATGGACAATTCCTCAATATCCTGTTCATTTGCAATAAAATATTTTCTTTGTGCAGTGGTAAAAAAAAAACATGCTTTTTTAGAGAGAGATATTATTTCACCAATCATGTCAAATCTTTCTATTTGGACCTTCATCTATTATTTGGAATATATCTAGAGCTAAACATAGAATTCTGCTAAGATTCCAATAGGGTTGGAAAGCAGGCATTCATACCTTTGTGGAAATATATTGATTCTAATATGTTTGAAGTAAGGACTGAAATCTGCAAAAAATATATGAAAATTAAAGAAACATAGTTTCCTTGTGTATTATAGATTCTAGTCAATACAAGGATTGTTTAACGCTTTTGAAAGTATGTGTGACAACTATTGACTTAATTATTCTACAAGGATTCCATGTCAAGATATTTGTGAAAGCAATTATTATCCATTGTTTGCAAGAATTCCATATCAATTATAGAATGTACGTGATAGCAAGAAGGCTTGGAATTCTTTTATTATTCTTTTTCTTATTTTACACGGTATCTTTGCTAAAAAAAGATATTATAGAAGGCTATTTAAATAATATATTTATATTACTTTCCTTTCTATTTTTTAGGGCATACTTTCAGTTAGATAAAGAAAAAAAACTTTAGTTTTCAAGACAATTTCTTTCAAGCAAGGTGATTAGTACTTAAAAGTGTATTTTTATCAAGGTTTTATATCATCATTTTGTACTTGAAGTATCAATAACTCCTTAACTAAAGCATGTTTTATAATAACATATCTAATAATATAAGATACCTTTAATTTATGGTAAATATTCATTTTAAATGCAGGTCTATCACATAAATCTTAAAGATTAATTGATGAGTTTAAGAAGTGAAATTAAAAGGACAAATAGATGGCCAAACATAGAAAAGAGATGCTGATGCAGTCCAAACCGGAATATTGTTCGGTAATTAGGTCATATCTGGAGCTGTAGATCTTAGA